AGGAAAATATTGATTTTTAGGTGCTTTAATCTTGGTTCAACTTGAGATTTTGGGTTGTGTTTAGGTGCATTTGAATCTCAACCAACAAGAGGTTTACAGGTTCAATGTCCCAACTTTCGAGGTCAACGTTTGTTCGGTGTGGATTATTCTGTGAGAAAGGAAAATTTTAGGTTCATTATTGAATCTCTCAAAGTTAATAAACTCAAAGTATATATGGATCATATGGTTTTCAAATCTATAATACTTCACTTTCTTTTTCTTAAATCCAATGGTGCAATGGGTATGTTTATGTATGTGATAGATTTTTTTTGTGGCAACGGGTATGTTTATGTAAGTGATCGATTCTATTTATCACTCCAATTTGGTGTAAGCTTATGATGCTATTTTAATTGATAAATATGGGACACTTAAAAATAATATGGTGGTGGTGGTGGTGGTTATGGTGATGGTAGTGGTGGTGGTGAAGAGAAATGGAAGCAAGGATTAGGATTGGGTAAGGTATGGATGATCATTTTTAATATAATAATAATACAAGAACTGAAGAAAAATAAAGGATAATGAAAAGGGCTAATAAGTTATTTAATGTGGCTCACTAACCAACTATACAAGTTTTAAAGACCACAAAGACTATGGTTTTCAAAATAAATTAGCAATTGTATCTTTTGAGAAACCATAAAGATCATTTATGTAATTTTGTCAGAAATATATAATGTGGGCCTTTATTTTCATTTTAGGGGATAAAGTCGTAGTATTTGGTTTAATTTATAGGGGAAATGACATAAAATCACTTAAGTAGTTAAGTTTTCACAAAAATATCGGTTTTACTCTTGGATATGTTTTAGATCCAATAAAGTCAGATGGTTTGTTTAATTTGTTTATTGATACTCTTTTAGCCGGTTTTCAGGTAACCTACTGCTTACCTAATGCCAGTAAAATCTTTGAGTTTTTAAAAATATTTGGATTTAGCCTTAAAGTTTTCAAAAATGTTCGAATTTACCCTTACTTGATTGTTATTTTGAATTTTTTGATTAATTATTATTATTATTATTATTATTATTACTACTACTACTCCTATTAATATTATATATGTTTAATACATTTTAAACGTATAAAGGTACTTTATACACACATTTTTAAATATGTTTTTAAATGTATAACATTATTTTTTATAAATTTAAAAATATATTTACTTGTATTTAATATTATATATTTACTTCTATTTAGTATTTATATAGATCTCAAAAGCTAATGAACTTATATATTAAAAATATATTTATTTGTATTTAGTGTGTATAAAAATATACTTTATGCATATAAATATAAAAATATCTATTTATAAGGTTTATATTAAATAAAAGATATAATTATATATATTTGTACATTTTACTAAGTATATATATATATATATATATATATATATATATATATATATATATATATATATATATATATATATATGTGTGTGTGTGTGAGAGATATGTATTTATACATATTTATATTGTAAAGTACATATAAACGAAACATTTTTTTATTTCTTTGGGTGATTCATCAAGTAAAATAAAAAAAATAGTGTTTGCTTACTAAGTAAAAATACGTATTTATTTCATAAATATGTTTCTATGTATATGATAGTTTTTATATAAAATAAATAAAAAATTATATCTATTAAATACATTTAAAAAATATTTTATTTTTATTTAATAGATATAAATATGTATTTGTTTTGTATAAAAATATCGTATGCATATAAATATGAAATAAACACATGTTTTTATTTAGTAATATGTTCAAATACATATGATTATATCTTTTATAAAATATAAACCTTATAAATATGTATTTTTATTTTATATGTATACAATATATTTTTATATGAAATAAATATATATTTATACCTACTAAATATAAATAAATATATTTTTAATATATAAATACATTTTTAAAGGAATGCATATGCTTTCAATTGAATATAAATACTAAATACAAGTATAACTATTTTTAAAAATATATATGAATTAATAAAAATATATTTATACATTTAAAAATGTACGTATAAAATATTTTTATACATTTAAAAATGTATTAATAATAATAATAATAATAATAATAATAATAATAATAACATCAACAATCAAAATAAAAGTAAATTCGAACATTTTTTATAACTTAAGAGTAAACCCGAACATTTTTAAAAAATCAAAAACTTTACTAACATTAAGTAACCTACCTACCCGAAAACCGGTTAAATATATATATATATATATATATATATATATATATATATATATTATATATATATATATATATATATATATATATATATATATATATATATGACAAATTAAACAAAATATCTAATTTTATTAGACTTAAAACACATTCAAAAGTAAAACTTATATTTTTGTTAAAACTTAAAATTTTTATTTAATTTTTCCTAGTTTATAACTAGAAAGTATCTTTAAAATAATAATCAAATAAAAAATAAATATTGTTTTAAATGACTCGGTTATAAATACATGATGAACTTTTGGAGGAAAAAGTTGTACATGCAAAAGGTAAATGAAGTGGGAACTGTGAAATATGAAAAATGAAGTTGAGGTGACAGTTCATTGGAACAAGCTACGAAAGCATAGTCGATAGTACAAGTACTACAACCACATGACGCATTTTCTATACTTTATTTCCTTTACCGTCCTCCCTCTGCCCCAAAACAAATATACTCGCTCTTATATTATTATAATATTAATCTTTGTGTAAATTACAATTTTACCCCCAAACCATCTTATTAGTTAATATATATAAGAATATATCGTTTAAGCCTTTAAGGTAATAATATATCCATTAAATTTATAAAAATAACAAATTTTGTCATTGTCTTCTCCATTTGAATCTTTTTCTTCCTCAAACCCTAAATTTTGAAATTTTGAGCAAATCAGATAATTCGAATAAAAATTAAAATAAACAAAAGTCAAAACTAAAACTCAATAACCAAAAACAAGTCAAAATTAAATTTCATTTTCATTTTCAATCCTTAAAATTTCATTAACATTGTATTCATTTAGTGATCAGTTTGGAGCACAAACATGGGTTCGAAGGATATTTTTTCTAATAATTGAGTTTGGATTTGACTTTTTTTATTCTAATTTTACATTTTGTATTTTTTATGATATGTTAAAGTTTGTTTGAATTTAGGGTTGTTTACTAGAAGGAAGTGAAACAAATGAAAACACAAAAGTAAAAAGTTGTTATTATATTTACCTTTCTCACTCATACAAACTATAAAATAATAGGATACACAAGTACTATTAGATTCACATTAGGGTATACAAAGAAATTTGAGGGTACGTATACAATTTCCCAAGTAAAATTATCATTTTTAGAGGTTCGTCTGCAGTAACTTAGAACATGGGGCATAATCTTTACAACGGGGGTTAGTCGGAGTACGAAATTTGGCATGTAACCCTCGTTAATGGAAGTTTCTTTTCTTAAAAAAAAAGAACTTTTACTTAAAGTCAAATGCTATATTTGATGAATTAAATGAAAAAATAGTTCATTAGTCAATTAGTCATTTGTGTTCCTAATATACAATAGTTTAAAATTTTATTTAAAATAAAGAGTCTTGGTGGAAATTTGAGGGTACGTATACAATTTCCCAAGTAAAATTATCATTTTTAGAGGTTCGTCTGCAGTGACTCCAGAACATGCGGCATAGTCTTTACAACGGGGGTTAGTCGGAGTGCGAAATCTGGCATGTAACCCTCGTTAGGGAAGTTTCTTTTCTAAAAAAAAAAAAAAAAAAAAAAAAAGAACTTTTACTTAAAGTCAAATGCTATATTTGATGAATTAAATGAAAAAAATAGTTCATTAGTCAATTAGTCATTTGTGTTCCTAATATACAATAAATAATAAGTTATATTACTTTTAATTTAATTTATGAATTTTTATATGTAGAAAAATTAGCTAAAATATATAAACCAATTCTATTAGAATCACAATCATGATTATAGAATTGTATGATCTTATAATTCTAAAATTCTTAAACAATCTTGATGTTAACGATATCGATTTAGGGTAAGTTCAATGTAAATTTATAAAATCATAAGACCGTCGGTAGGATCATAAGATGGTATATAAAATCCTTAATTATATTAATGTATTATAAAATCATCAATGATATTTATCTTTTGTGCTTTTCTTGATGCATTAATGTAAGAAAATACTTTAAATTGATATATATATATATATATATATATATATATATATATATATATATATATATATATATATATATATATATATATATATATATATATATATATATATAGTCCAACTCGTATTTAATTTTAACATTTCCACCAATACTCTTTATTTTAAATAAAATTTTAAACTAATTGACTAATGAACTATTTTTTCATTAAATGGAAGCAACTATTTTCAGTCAAACAAATCAGTCAAATTGATTAGTAAGCACGTTTTCTAAATAATTATGGTTAATGACTTAGGAGGGTAATAAGGTTTTCAGTTTATCCGTATTAGGTTACTAAGGTTTTTTTGTGCGTATTAGACCAATATGGTTGTTATTACCGTTTAGAACTAGTCCTTTTTACCCATTAAAACCGGTAAAAGGACTATTTCTAAACGGTAATAACAATCATATTGATCTAATACGCATAAAAAAAAACTTTAATGATCTAATACGGACAAGCTGGAAACTTTATTACCGTCCTAAGTCATTAGATGCCTAGATTTATATATCATTTGTCATCTTCAAATCTTTTTAAGAATTTGGTTTACATTAGACCTTTCATACAGATTACAACTTCTAGATCTATTTTTATGATCACGATTCTGTCAACGTAAAAAACAATCATGAAAGAAAAGATCACAAACATTTTTACCAAAAACCATTTTTTACTTTAAAAGTTAATAAAAATATTCTTTTCTAAAGAAAACTCCACTTCATTCAACGAAATAAATCAACAAACATTTTTACCAAAAACCATTTTTACTTTCAACATTCAACCCAAAACACCCTCGGAAGCCAAACATTCACATGGGAAATGGCTTTAAAAATTACATGTAAACCAAATAAAATAATTAGAAAAAACATAGTTACAAAACTTATAATGTACTTTTTTAATTAAAAGAGCATCACTTCTAATATAAGTAAAGAAATAAACAGAAAACAGAGGTGTACGTAGTAGGATTACAGTAGTAGTAGTTACAGCAGTCTCTGAATCATCTGTAAGTATCCTACAAGGCAGTCACGTGCGGCAGTGACAGCCTTCACCTTCACCTCTCCACCTTCTTCCCCACCACTTTCTCCATTTTCATCACCTTCACTTTCCACTTTCTTCTTCCTCCTCTTCTTGATTTGGGGGTGTTTTTTTTCTTGCTATAGATTAATCAAAACAAGTAAATACATGTAGTATTTGTAGTATTAAATGTAGATAGACATTATTGTACTGAGTCTCATCTCTGCACCAATTATCCCCACTCTGTCACCAACAGAAACCACAGTAATAATTTTCCTTTATACGTTCATACCTACTACACCTTCTCTCTCTCTCTCACACACACTTCACCCAGTTAACCCACTCTTTCTCTCTCTACTATTACTCTTCCATTCCAATGGGTTCTTCGCCGGAGCGAGGTGGATTAGGATCTCCGACGCCGCCGCTCCCCAGACCCAAGTCGCCGCCGGAGTTGTACGGGAAACGGAGAGAGCTGGCGAAGGTTGTGATGTTGGAAAGAGAAATAGGTTTCCTTCAGGTTTTGCTTTCGCTTTCCTATTTTTTTTTTTTTTTTTTTATCTGGCTTTCTTGAATTATGTGTATTACTGCTTTCTTTCTGCACACTTACTTTCACTTTCATTGCTAAAATTGGGTGCTTTCTAAAGTGGATTTAAACTTAAAAAATTATAAAACTTGAAACAGTAAGTTGCATATATGTGTCATTCTATTAAACAGTGTCTTAAGTAAAACTAAATTAAACCCTTTCGAAAAGCTTTAGTCTTTGTGCTTCATTCTTCTTGGATATGCTTGATCTATATTGTGTTTGTAGGGTTTGAAATCCCACTCTAAGTGGCTTTGTGATGTGTGTAGTTGAAAAAGAAAAGATAAACATTATGGTCCCCACTATATAATGTCACAAGGGACAAGGTAAATCGGAGAACATCAAATTGAACATCCGTTGTTTTGATACAATCTTGATCAAAATGTGATATGTCCCATAGTTTATTTGGTCTAAAAAAGTAACAATTTTTGTTTATACATAATTTTTAGATCGTTTCTTCCAAAATAGAAGTGATTATTGTTCATACATAATTTATACAGACGTCATTTATCCATTCAGTACTTTGTATATGCAACACACGATATCTGTAAGAGTTTATGTAAGAGCTTTTTGGTTGAGTTTATTTATGACACATCAACACCATCTCAATATTACAAAAAGCTCAAATCATGTCCACAATGGGGCTTTTTTTTTCATGAGGTTATTTATGGGACCCATTATCTTGTTCTAATCATTTTATTCAATTTTATGACAATTATCTTCATTATTGCTTATGGGACCCTTAATATTTTGAAAAAGCTCACTTAGAGAGCTTGTAATAAAAGCCAAGCTTTTTCAAAAGTTTGTTTATTGGACCCCAAATGTTTTTGAACAAACTCGTATTGTGGATACTCACCTATGGGAAAAATACCCATTCATCGAGTCTAACTTCCTCTGTTTGGGCCTCTTTCCCTCAAATTTTAAGATTTTTCTACTTTTTACATAAATTGCGTGAAATCAAAGAATTTTATTCATTCATGGTAAATCTCGGTTACCGCATTTCACTAATTTAGGTGAATTTTTGAACTTTTGATCAGATCCCTCGAATATAGGACATGTTACATGTCTAGAAAAACCTTATTTTCTTCTATAAAAGTGTGTTTATTTATCATTTGCTACAATGTATCTAAATTAATTTGGTTTTAAAGTGACCATGTCTACTTAATCATGAAGCTTTCTCTTTTTCTCTTGTGTAATTTGGTAGGAAGAGTTGAAATCGACTGAAACACTACAGCCTGCTTCTTATTGCATTAAAGAGTAAGCAATCAGATCAACCATATAACTTGTTTTATCAATCTTTTTCAACTTTCAACATCCAACCAACTCTGATTAACAGGGTTGCTGATTATGTTGTTGCAAATCCAGAGCCATTGATCACAACGTAAGACCCATCAATGATCAAACCTAATCTTCTTTCTTTCTTTCCTTTATGAGCAATCAACCACCATCTTCATATGTTTGTTCTTTTGACCAAAACCAGGGGGAAGAAGACTCGTAAGTCTTGTGGCTTCTGGAAGTGGCTATGGTATGATACAAATATATATTTCATCTATCTTTTTTTTTTTATTTCCTTGTATGTATCATAGCCACATTTAGCATATATTAGACTCGATACATTTTGTTTAATCTCATTGAGCTTTTGAGATTAGACTAGATATTGTCTCAAAAGACATGAAAATGTCTAATCTCAGTTGCTAAATCTCCTCGAGGCTTTGCGAATGAGATTAAACTAGACATCTAATCTTAGAAGTTAATCTCATCAAGGCTTTGAGATTACACTAGATTTGTCTCAAAAGACATGATGATATGCTATGATAGTGTCTACATATCATAGGCTTTGAGATTAGATTAAATATCATGTCTTAATTTAGTCTAATCTCATTAGTGTAATCTCATTAAGTCTCTGAGATTAGACTATAGTTTCTAACCTCAAAGGCGAGGCGAATCTAATCGAGACTTTGAGATTAGACTAGATCTGTCTCAAGATCTCATCTACTTTTTTGGAAAGAAAATATAGGATTAAACATATCTTCTTTTACTAAACTAACAATAAATATATGTATTTGTGTTGTTTGTAGTGGAAGTTCCTGTTTCAACATGTCATGGCTATGTTGTTGCTGCTGTTGCAATGACTGTCAACTTCAAATGCCACGCTGTTGCTGTTCATGTTCTTTACCCGACTGTTGTTCCTGTTCATTACCAAAGTGCAATTGTTCTTTCAACCTGTGTTCCTGCTTCCCGCCATGTTTAAAATCATGTTTCTGTTGCTGCCCCAAGTGCAATTCAAGTTGCTGCCCGAAACTACAACCATCCTGCCCGGATTTCAGTTCTTGCTGCTGCAAATGTTCTTCTTTCTTCTCGTGTTGCTGTTTCCCTACCAAATGCAAATGCAAATGCTCGTGTCCTAAACTCCCAAAATGTAGTTCCCCTTGTGCTTGTGTTAGTGCTTCTTGTTGCAGCATAAAATGCTGTTACTCTTGTTATCATTGTTGTTAATGAAATAAAAAAACATTACAGAATATGACATTTAATATTTCTTTTTTTATCGATTCATTTTTTAAGGCATAAATCAAACAAACAACTACTTCTTCTATTACATTAGCTTTTGAGAAATTTTAGAAACAGTCAAACAAAGAAGCCCATATTGATATTATTATACAACTCGGGCCCAACCAAAAGCAACCGGGCTTCTAACTTGATTCTCGGCGTTCTTCCAAGTTATCGACCCAAAAAGGTCGTCGGAGTTGCTTTTCCGGGAGACAAATGTAACCGTGTACCTCATCTTATCTCCTTCTTTCTTGAAAACAAGCCTTTTTGGTTTCACGGTGACCTGAACTCCCTCCGGCGCTTCTGCAACTACATCATAAGCAGATCCGGCAAGGCCAACGTTTGTTAGCTGCCGGGTGTATCTCACGACTCTTGATTTCCCAAAAAGAACAGAGAAAGATGGGTAGTTTAATCGTCCTGGGTCGCCTAATTTTCTGGCGCAGGTGACATTAGCGCGATTGACGACAGCTTGAACTTGTTTAATGTCGTAACCTAATGAACAGACGAAGGCGATGTATTCTTCCGTTGAGATGTCGTACACAAGTCCGGGAGAAATTGCTTTGTGTGGTTCGACGTGACCTGCTCCATGGGCGAATGGGGTGGAGAATTGGCCTCCGGCGGCGTCACGCAGCGGTGATTTGGTGTTGTCGACGGTGTAGGCGGTGGTCATGAGCGCTGATTTGATCGCACTAGGGCTCCACCCTGGATGTGCCGCTTTTATGAGTGCTGCTAAGCCACTGATATGTGGGCACGACATGGATGTACCTAAAAGAATTCAAAGGGATTTTTACTTTTTTTTTTTTGGTAATTGTTTAATGTTTATCACTTCATCTCGATCTGTTTCCATTAATGTAAGCACTTCAAACCCACTCAAAGTGAAATTAATTGAAGAAGAATCTTCGTCATGTGCATAACGCGTTTATTTTTTTAATTGTTTGCATCAAATTTTATGATTATGGATACTGATGATAATCATGGCATTAGTAAATTATAGTGGTACGATGGATTTTGTAATCAATGGAGTCGGAATAAATCTTCGGACTGATTTTTTTTAAAATTATAACCGTTGGAAATTGGATTATACCTGACATGATGTTGAACTGGGTTTTCCGGGTATCCATTTCCAACCCGGTGGGCCCGATTCCCTCTGACCACCCAGCCAGGATGTTGACTCCGGGACCAATTACGTCCGGCTTCAATATCTGCGGAGTCACCATGTTCGGACCTCTGGAACTGAATGCTGCCACCACCGGCGACGGTTTAACGCCCAACACCGTTCCTCCGAAGCTAAGCAACGCTTTGGGATTCTTCTCTGTTTTCAAGTATTCACGGATTTCGTCTCCGATTTTTCTACCCACGGCAACCGCCGGTAGCATATGGCTGTCGGCAACCAACTCCTCCCCGCTCTCCGCCGTGTTTCCTAGTATCATTCCGATACCACCGGCTTCTTTCACCACCTGACCTTTCTCAACACGTGGATTGACACCCCTGTCGCAAAAAACTACTTTACCACGTACGGCATCCGGTTGAAGTGAACCGGGCATACATAAATTACTCGAACTTCCGGTTCCTTTGTCGTTGAAGTAAACCAATTCAATCGGTTTATCACCCATACCTTTCCCACTGTACAGAGAAACGCCGGTGACACGTTTTCCGTTCCCTAATACGGCGTAAGCCGGGAAATCTCGGTCGAGAGTTCCGGCACCGACGGTCATTATCCATGGAGCGACGTTGGCAAGTGATGCCTTAGCGGGTCCGCTGTTTCCGGCGGAACACGACACGAACACACCCATTTCCATGGCTTTGAATGCTCCGATAGCAATTGTATCGCGATAATAAGGCGCGGAACCTCCGCCGAGGGACATGGACAACACATCAACACCATCGGAAATTGCCCGATCCATACCAGCGAGGATATCTGAACCAAAACAACCGGTTTTCCAACAAACTTTGTACGTCGCGACTCGCGCGTGGACAGACATGCCACGCGCCGTCCCACTAGCAAACCCGAACAAACTGGCGTTTCCCACTTGTGCCCCCGCCGCTGTCGTTGAAGTGTGTGTCCCGTGTCCGTCTTGGTCTCGCGGCGACTCCTTCTCCTTCGAGATAGCACCGGCTGCCAACCGGAAACCTTTGGAAAACTTCCGAGCACCAATCAGTTTCTTATTGCAGACGGTTGGTTTGAAATCTTCTCCTTCTTCACACTCACCCTTCCATCGAGCAGGCACAGCGGGCATAGCAGCATCGTCAAAGCTCTTCGACTCCGGCCAAACTCCTGTATCAAGTACGCCGATGATGACATCGTGGCTCGCTGCATTGAGTTGCTGCGGCGTATGGCCAGACCACAGCCCCAATTCATTTTCGATCCCTAAGAACTCAGGAGTGCGAGTGGTGTGGAGTTGGTAAACTGTATCCTCGTAAACCCCGAGTACAGACTCCGATTGTCGGAGGGCCTCCACTTGGTCTAGATCTAAGGAGGCGGAGAAACCGTGGTAGGCGTTAGTGTAGGAATATAGAATGGCATCGGGGTTAGTGGAAGCGAGAGATTGCAGACTATCTTCGTACCAGTCGTGGTGAGTGAGATAGGATGTGGGTTTTTGATGATTGTTCATTTGAACTATGTAAGTTTGTTTGGCGGTTGTAATGGTGAAGCATGATGGGTGGAGAATTGCTACTAAGAAGCATAGCCACAGCAGAGACGCCATGGCAATTTCACAGATAATTTAAAAATGATGTGAAGAAGATGGAAGGAATTTTATCTCTGCACAGCTGCCCACTGTCAGAGAGGGACGAATGGAAGGGATGAAGGAGTGGTGTCTGCTTATAAGCGAGTATTGTTGCAAATTGGGGCGTGCCGTGCCCTTTATTACTCGATTGCCATCGCCTCATAAATTTGTTTTATAGTATTACATTATAAGTTTTTGAATTTAAAGTTTGTTTACGTGATATGTTTCAATTTTCATTTGCCAATTTAAATATTAGGACAAATTCGGTAGTTATTTTTTTTATTAAGTAATCTTATTTATCTTGTTATTATTCTTATGAATTGTTAAAAAATTATTAGGACGAGTTGTGTATATGAATATATTTGTGGGGGTGTGTTTTATAAATGACATGCAGGTTAACGGGTTTATATGCTGACTTTGGGTCAAACCATGGATCTTCTTTACCCGAAGTATTTAAGTGTATGGTTGCGTTGTTTCTTATTCATTCAAATCATTTTTCCTCATTTATGTATTCATAAAACTCTCTCGTCTCTCACTTGTAGATTAGGGTTTCATAGCTAGGGTTTGTTCATACTCTCTATCTTGTGTACAATTTTCTAGTTAGTGTGTAATATGAGTGTGAGTGAGATATGTAGTGAGGTTTTTGATGTATTTTGTTAATGTAAACCATATGTTTCATAGTGAATAAAATAATGATATTGGGAAGTTCTTGAGTTTACGTTTTTTAGATGGTATCAGAGCGACCAAGCTCCAATTCTTCTCTTTCGATGCTCATTGGTTATTTCTTCACTCGATCGTCGGTTTAAGAAAGGTATTCTCTGAATCCTCTCTTCTTTTCTTTTGTTTTGGTTAGATCGTTACAGTTGTTGTTCGATCTACGATTTCACTTCTGAATCCTTAGTTTTTGTTACATAAACTGTGATTTTTTCGGTTATTCGCTTCGATTTTGGGTTTCTGTTGTTACTCATTCAAATCGAAACAAATATATGTGTTCTTATTTCTTTTTAGATCATGGTACTGCGAGATTGTTTATAGTCTTGCAGATTATTGTTGGCTTGTTGTGGTGGGTCTTTTGGAGTCTCATCGGTTGGATCATCGTCGATCAATCTCCTAGTCTGAAATAACTCTCTAGGGGTCAAATTTTGTCACCGATAAATCCTAGTAGGGAACGGACAAGGAGAGTTGACCCTTATTGCTATTTCTCAACAGCTCTGTGAGGATCTTCTTGTTCCTTTCTCTTTTGATATTGTTCTGTTATGGGAGATCATGGTTGTCTTGTGTACACCAGTTTTTTTTTGTTCCTTTGTATTCGATTGTTTTTTCCTTGACTTTGTACTGGTTGTCTTGGGCCCCAACATATGTGGTGACCATCTGGACTTAAGATCAGTGCAGGTGTCTGTTTTCTTTTATTTTTCCTGCTTGTTCATTGTTTTTATTTGTTTTTATAGCTAGTGATCCTACTGATCCACCTGGTAGGAGTGGAAAGGATGATCGAGTTAGTTTTGATGATCCTCTCTACATTCACCCATCTGATAATGTTGTTACTTCAATTGTCACCACAAAGTTAACCGAAAATGAAAATTTTAAACTAAGGAGAAGCTCTATTTCTAGGGCACTAAGGCTAGGAACAAACTGATGGGTTTTGAGCACTACAACATCCCTATGGTGTACATGCAACCCTAATGCTTCGGATCTATGTTTTTCTCAAGGTATACATGCAAATCAAGTTATCCAAAGCATGAACCCTAACTAGCATACAATTTTCGGAAATCATAACACAAATCTAAGTTAGAAGAATACATTTCACTTGTAGCTTGTAAATCTTGACCTTCAAGAGCTTAGTGCCTCAATTATTGCACCTCAAATGGATCACAAACACCAAGTAGAAAGTTGGAAGAATATGAGAGAGGTTTAGGAGGTTCAACATCGGCTAGGGTATTCTCTAGGAAGCAAGTGGCCAATTTTGGGAGTCTTAGGGGTTCCTTATATAGCTGAGTGATTAGGGTATTTGACTGAAACTCTAATTCTCTGCTTAGGGCTTAACCAATCCAATATATCCTTCCAGAAGCCCCTAATGGACAAAACCTACGTGGACTTCCTTATAAAATTCATCCCTCCCTTCCTTAGGGATCCATAAGCCCACTTTTGTAATTATCTTATAATTACAATATCAGTCCCCACAATTTAATCGGTCTCTTTTGATTACCAAATTAATTTCTGATCAATACTAATTAAATAATATAATTTCTCAATTAATATATTATTCTTATGATATATTAATAAATCATAATTAACCTCTTTTTCCATTATTCATCCATTCAAGTTGTTATGGTGAAGGCAACCTAAAAAGACCATGCTACTATCGGGTCAAGTACATACCAATTATAGTTATGGGCTTAGACACTTAATCCAAAACAAACTTGGATTTGTTGATGGAACTTTAAAAAAGAATGATGTTGATGAGTAAAAAAAAGTCTAAATGAGATAGGGCTAATGTTGTTGTATGTTCTTGGCTTCTATCTTCTATCTTCTATTTCTAATTCTATCTATCAGAGTCAAGCTTATTCTGAGGTTGTTGAGGATATCTGGAAAAATCATTTTGAAACATATAATAAATTTGATGGTTATGTTGTGTTAATATTCATCAACATGTCAATTCTCTTAAACAAAATGGAATCTCTTTATCATATTACTTCAATAAGCTTGATTCCTTATGGAAAGAATTTGACGGTCTTACTAGTTTAACTAAGTGTACTTGTGAGGCTTCTATTAAACTCAAAGATCATTCTAATCTAATGAAACTTATGTAGTTTATTTATGAGCTTGATGATTCATATAATCAAGTCAAAACTCATATTCTTTTAATGGAACACTTACCTAATGTGAAAATTGCTTTCTTTATTGTGTCAAAAGAAGATTCTCTTCAAAGAAATGGTTCTTTGTCTTCTCTTTAGTCGTCTCATTTTGTGTCTAAATATCAATCTGTTGCCTTCAATAGAAAAACATAATAACAGGTCTAATTCTAATAAAAATAAGACCCAAATTGTTCAGTGTAAAATCTGTGGTATTAAAGGTCATACCATAGAAAAGTGTTACATTTTGATTGGTTACCCTAAGGACTTCAAGCAAAGAAATGAATCTAATAACCAAAATAATTTTAGCAAAAACTTTTCTACCAATTCAACTACCACTTCTTCTGGAAGTTCAAATACTTCTAATCTTTCTGATTCCGTTGGAGATTCTGAGTTTCATCAACTTATTAAGGATCAATACATCAATTTTTTACAAGTTATTAGTGATAGGCAAGTTAACGAGGAAGCATCTGCTAGTGCCAATATGGCACGTACTTGCTTGTTTCAAGTCTTTAATTCATTTGTAAATTTTCAAAAATGGATTGTTGACTCAGGAGCTAATCAACATATGATTGCTTCCGAGTCCCATCTTCATGACATTGTGGATGTGTCTAAATTAGATCTAATTGTTAGTCATCCTAATGGTACTTCAGCTAAAATTGAGAAATTTGGTAATATGAACCTATCTAATTCATTAACCTTGTTTGATGTATTTGATGTTCCTGACTTCAATGTCAACTTGTTACCTGTCCATAAAATCTGCAAAGACAGTAATTGTGAGGTTATTTTTAATGAACATAGTTGTAAAATTCAGGGTTTACAATCAAATGATATAGTGGGGAATGGTAGAGAATATGGAGGTCTCTATTACATAAATAGTGTACCTTCATGTAATTCGTCTAGTATTATTAACTCTTCTTCTATTTGTTATGTATCTAAACTAACTTGGCACAACAGACTTGGTCATCCCTCTAATCAAGCTTTGGGTTCCTTAAAAACAAACTTAAATTTGGTAATGAAGTTCTCCCACCTTGTGATGTATGTCATAAATCTAAACAAGTAAGAGAATCATTCTCTATTAGTCAACATGTTACTTCTAAACTTGGTGAGTTAATTCATCTAGATGTATAGGGATCTTATAGAGTGAAAACTTAAAAACATTTATGTATTTCTTGACTATTGTGGATGATTACACTAGGGAAACTTGGGTTTATCTGTTAAAGTCAAAAGATGAAGTTTATGATTGTATTCTTATTTTCTTTAATATTCTGCTTAATCGGTTTGGTGTTAAAATTAAAAATGTTAGGTCAGATAATGGAACTGAAACTTTAAGCCATGGAATGAGACAATTGTTGGAGTAAAAAAGTATTTTACACCAGACATCCTGTGTTCATACTCCACAACAAAATGGAGTTGTGGAGAGGAAGCACATGCATATTGTAAATGTTGCTAGATCTTTAATGTATCAATCTGGTTTACCTCTTAAATATTGGGGAAAAGCAATTTTAACTTCTGTACTCTTGATTAATAGGACTCCTACTTTTGTTTTAAATGGTGCTTCTCCTTATGAGCTTGTTTATAATAATACTCATGTTTTTTATATACTTAGGGTTTTTGGTTGTTTATGTTTTTCCACTAAATTGAATAATTCTGATAAATTTTCTAAAAGAGCTGATAAATGTATTTTTCTTGGTTACTCTTTTGATAAAAAGGGTTATAAAGTTCTTAGTCTTGATTCAAATCTTGTTTTTGTTTCCAGAGATGTGAAATCCTATGAATCAGTGTTTCCTTTCAAGCTTAAGTCTTCATCTTTGACTGATAAATCTAGCATCCCTTTAAATTCAAGTGACCTATTTTCCTATGATGAGCCATTGAATTCTAGTATTCTTCTTGATAACATTATTTTAGATAACTTGAGAAGTGCCCATCAATCGATGGTGCTAGTGCAGACCAGAACCTAAATAAGACTTGTCCCTCTAATGTCAACAATCAGACCGGAGAGATACATGTGCCTTCTTTTGGTGTGTCATTTCCAAGTTCTTCTACTTTGACTGAGGATAATGGTTTAATTAATACTAGTCCTTCTAAGGGTCAGTCAATTAGGGTCACTAGGTCTAGACGTAATTT